GTGAGTGAGTAAATTCGAGTAGTTTTGACCCAGGAAGCGAAATTTGAATATCACACACTTAGGTGCAAGATTATGCCAAAATTTCATGTTTTCCGTCCCGTTTTTGCTCATTTCTCGAAGGCAAAATGAGCAAGAAGGCTCATTTGTACATCATTCTAGAGAGAAATAAATGGCCTTTTTAGAAAGTCAACCATGGATGGGGAAATGTTGGCAGTTTTCTCAAAAAATGCTTGAATTCAAGAAGTTTTAGATTTGTGTGTTTGTTTTTTGAGTTGCAAAATCCACTTGAACATGACGCTGCTTTTTTCGAGGTTTCTCAAGAACCATTCTAGCCACAGAATTCGTTTTGGCATCGTTGGATAGGGAATTGAAAAGTCGATTCAGTCGTGACAACGTTAGTGAAGAAATTCGAGCAGTTTTGACCCAGAAAGCGAAATTTGAATATCACACACTTAGGTGCAAGATTATGCCAATATTTCATGTTTTCCGTCTCATTTTTGCTCATTTCTCGGAGACAAAATGAGCGAGAACGCTCATTTGTACATCATTCTACAGAGAAGTAAATAGCCTTTTTAGAAAGTAAACCATCGATAAGGAAATGTTGTCAGTTTTCTGAAAAAATGCTTGAATTCAAGAAGTTTTAGATTAGCGTGGTTTTTTTTTTGAGATGCAAAACCCACTTGAACATGACGCTGCTTTTTTCGAAGTTTCTCAAGAACCATTCGAGCTACAGAATTCGTTTTGACATCATTGGATAGAGAATTGAATGGGGGGGTCATGACCCCCATGATCCCCCCCAGGATCCGCCCTTGCGTCTACTTTAGCTATTATTTGATAAGCTGGATAACTTACCTCTGGGTAATCGCTTTGAAGAATGCCTCTGATGTTCGTTTTTCACAATCTCCACTACGGTATCCGAGAATCCGATGTCGTGGTGCAACTGGCCCTGGTGCCGTTTTCTTGGTGAAGGACTACGCTGAAGTGAAGGAGAATGATCTCTTCTGAATCCCCCCAAAAAGCCCATTAAATAAATTCGGTTGCGGCAATTCAAAGCACTTGCCTGATGCTGGGGCTTCTTCCATGAGAGTTTCCATAACCAGAAGGATGGAGATGTTGAGGTTGATCAGTTGTGCTGTCACACGAAGGTCTCCGCGAGCCGAGGACATCCGCCAACTCCGTCATCTAAACGAAAACCCATTAAATTGATTAAAACTGATGCGGATTTATTTAGGGTGCAACCAACGACGTTTTAATCTTCGTGACTTTAACAGTAAAAACAGCTAGCAAACAGTCAAGAAGACCAAAACCTGCCGTTTATGTGAAAAAATCGTTTGAAAATAAACAGTTAAATGGACCATTTATCTATGGACTGCAAAGGGCATCCCCTAATTGTTTATAGTCTAAACCTCATTCATAAAACAGATTCCTTGCATGTGCAACAAGTTCCATTTGAATAAAACATGCAATTAGTTAACTTGTTAAAACCATACGAAATGCATGCAAGTAGATGTTGATAAGAAACACCCAAGTATCGAAGCTCACTTTGAAAACCCTCGCATTGGGACAACTTGAGTGTTTCTTATTGTTGGAAAAATTGTGAATAGAAGTAAACATTTGATCAGTGCAAATCGCAAGAGGGCTTTAAATAAATTACTCTCGGGCAGAACGAGTAGTTATTGAAAGAACTTTGCAATTTGTGGTCGGTAAACTATAGTGACTAGAAGACCAAAGTCGTGACGATTTGTTGAAAGTTAGTGTTAGAGTTTCGGAAACATTAGCAATTAACCAGTAAAGGATTCAGTTAAGCATGCTCAGCCGTACTAGAAAAATACAAGTTAAATGCGTTAAAATATCCATACACATGTCTCTAACTGTAGAAGTGTGTGGAATGGTTGCATTTCAATGAAATTGCAGCGTTTTCGTCAGTTAATCGAAACCGGTAAGAAGCAACAACTGGGAATTTTTGTCAGAATTATTAAAAACGCTGCAATCCCGATCGGTTAGTGATTTTTGGTAAGTAGTTGTAAAAACATTTAATACGGCACTGGCTATGCTTTTCACTAATTGTACCTTCTAAGACTTGTTCTAAGACTATAACATCAGATTTTTGATGGATCTGTAAAAAATTACCAAGATGGAACATTTATTTCTGTAACATTTTTCACTAATTTAGCTAAACAATAAGCTATCGCTCTTCTACTGAATAACACGTCTCTAGAACTAACTGGTGGTTTTTTAATTTTTTCTAATTTTAGGCTTGCTGCTGCTCATTTTTTAACTCAGTTCAATTGCTTCGACCTAATCGCCTATTTATATTAGAATTATGTTACCATCAAGTTGGTTACGATGTTCACCTTTTTGTTCCTGAAACAGAAAAGAGTCATTGTTATTCATTCAGTTGGTTTCAAGTTTTTCGTCAAAATTTCCGTTATTAATTAAGCCTAGCATTTTTCGAGTTGTGTCCGTTTCCGGAGTGAAACTCTGATTCGAATGAATCAAATAATTCCAATCGGGAACGTAGCTGATAGTGGTTTTCGCACTCGCACTCACAGGTCTCTAAGAGAGATGCAAGATAGCGGGCGCGTTGCTACGTTCCAACTTGCCACCTTCACGGCTCAAAATTACTGAGTGCGAAACTTGGTAAAGTGTGCTTTTTTAGTTTGTTTTGAGTGCAAAAGTACGCACTTATACAAGACGTTGTTTGCGAAGTAAGCGAATGAGGGTAGCACTCGAGCGAAATTAGTGCGAGTAGTTGATTTCGCAGGCCTTAATTACACGTTTCTAGCGAATTTCTTCTTATTTTCGAACAAATTTCGTCCCATCTGCTTTGCAGCCACGATCCAAAGAGTCGAAACCTTTTTAATTTTTCCGGATCCACTTTTTCTTGATCAAAGTTCTCTTCTCTTGTCGTGTATTTTCTGCGATTTTTAAGTGGAATTTTCATTCGGAGTTATGGTTTTCCTTCCTGTTGTGAGAATATACGGAGTGATGCATCAATTTGAGTACAACCGTTTTTATCATCAAAACTTTTCCAAACAAATTAATCGATTGCAATGCGGTTCAAAACGGTCAGCAAAAAAATGGACAAACCAAAAACGTTCTCTCTGCATATTTTCAGTCAAATTTTTGGGCATAAAGTTGGGAAAAAACTCAATTTTTTGTTTCAACTGTATAAATATGAGGTAGCGCAAGATAATTTATGAGAAAGGACCTCCGAAGTGAAGATCTGTTCTGCTGAGTTGAAGAAACTTCTTTTATAAAAAGTTTTCTGCAAGCTTTGCTCTTTTCATAGAAGGTGTTTTTGGGGCGTGATCTACGCTTCAAATGCAGACAACTGAAACCACCCTATATGCAAGGTGGTAGAACTTACAGGGTGGACGATTTAAAACATGTTTCCTTAATACCACCCTATCTAAACTGCCAGTTTTTGTGGTGAAATTTCAACAAGAATATTTACCGTATAGATCGATTCCTCTTGGTGTTGCGTCGTGCCAACGAAATTAACGATCTCTCTTCATGATGGTGCTGATCAGAATGCTCCTGTCCGCCCATAAGGGGCGCCCCTTCAAGGCTTATGGAGCCAGTTCGGGAGCCCCCAAGATGTCCCGCCATCGTATCCATGAGACAATCGAAAAATGATGCTTTCTGTTTTTGAAAATGGCATAGTTCAATACGGAAGCATTGCTGTTAGAGTTTGGGGAGGGTCTGTACTAATCAAACAGGTTGCCTAAACCTAACAGCGCAAAATCTGATACTAAGTTAAATTAAAAGAAGCTTTCGGATTAATCAGTGGGTACCTGTGTGGAGTTAGAAGAGCTTGTCTGTTGTTGAATGACTAGATCGGGTTTTGGTTGATTTTTTTTTAAGGGGGACTTTTTCAACTTGAATGTATTCAAAAGTATAGCGCTAGCCGTATTTACAGTTTTATGGGGGGTAAAATGTGTTGAATGGCTGGAAAAGATTAGCATAGCCGCATGCACTGTCAAAACACATGAAAAATGGAAAAGTAGCCCATAACAGATCGTCCAGATTGTGCGATGCGAACCAGATGAAGAGCAATGGAGTCTTCAGATCCACATTCTCAAGCAGCAAGGTTGCCATAAATATAAACGCTCTAGAAAAAGTTGGCATGCCTATGTATAAGTCTAAAAATTACCTAGAAAAAGAGAAGAAACAACAAGTAGAAGAAGGCATGCAAAGAGGTCCTCAACACACTACTAGTAGTAACTAGCCAACTAATCAATACAGGAAGTTTTTTGGGTATGGCGGGAGAAACTGGCCTTTTTGTGAGCAAAATTCCATGTAAATTCTGCTCATTTTTTCCTCGTGAAAATGATCTTTCGCTACAGAGTGTCGGGAAAAGTGTGGACTATTTTAACTGCGGATTTTACCACATAAAACGATTTTTGCTCAAACACAGTCACTTTAGTTTGCGTCTGGATTCTTTACAACTCATTGGGTTATTATTTGTTTAGCGAGTGAACATTGTGAGCGCGATTTTCATAAGAACCTATTGAAGGTCCGGAAATTTTTTTTTTTACTGCAGAGGTCATTTCCCTGGAGCAGTAACCAACCTTGAGGATTTTTTTAAGGATTGACCCGGAAAAATCTCCATTTTTAAAACATGTCGGCTTAGGTTTAAGAATTCTTAGTAATTTGCAACGGGAATTTGATTTTTACTGGCTTAATCCTGTTTTGGAGATTAGGATAGTGGAGACTGACACGTTTTTGAGTAGAAATCCCCATGTTCTGCTACCAAGTAGGTAGTTAACTTTTTCAATTCAATTTCCAGACACTCTGCTTATTTTTGGGATTTTTAACGATCAAAATTTGGTGGAACTAAATTGTTTTGTGTTTTAAATCATAACAGGATTATAAATTTCTCACCATACCTTCCGTGATTGTTTTTCTACCAGTATTCTACTCAAACAATCAGAGAATCTGATTGCTGGCTAAAATCGACAAAAACTAAACTAATACAGTGAACCAGTAACGAAACGAAAAAAGAACGTCTAACAAATATCAAAAATCTACGAACAGGACACTGTACTATGAATGAGAATCTTGGAAAACTTTCTAAGAACAAATACAAAGAACTAATTACCATATACGTATAAAAACATCTTTTCAAAGAACTTCAGTTTATTTTCAGCTGTTGCCTGGGCAAATTTGGATTTCTTATACGCATATGCAGTTGAATAAAGTAATAATTAGAAATTCGTGAAAAGTGTATGTAAAAAGTGAAATTCAATAATAATTCATACTACCGCAATATTTGCAGATGGGCTATTTCCAAATCCCTGAAATGAAATAAAGATGACAAAAATTTGCGGATACTTTTCATGTGTGTTGTATCGGAAATTGCTTTCCATCTGTCTGTATTTGTGCGTCGGTTTCTCATTTATAATACTTATTCTCTGATTTTCTAGATCAACATTTCGAGCACAACCTTTGATCGAGAAAACCATCGCTGACACATCGAATCGAGCTTTTTAAAAGGGGGAGATCTACTGGAAATTTAGGTAAGTCGTGAAAGTAGAAATTGTCTAAAACTATATAAGTGTGCGCTAGTTTCTGCGACAGCCATACCAGTCAGAACTATAGAAATCTGCCAGTTTTTCGGCCCGGATGCACTTTCTCTGAACTGTCTAGTTTAGCTATCGAAATCTAAAAAAATCACTCTATAACTCGCGTTAAACGTCTTACAGCGCTGAAGACTTTCCTAGTCACAATAAAGGAAACAAGAAAATACACACCGCATAACATTCAATCACATTGAACCATCGATCACGACATTAACAAATGGAAATTAGAAACTAGGCTAAAGTGTTCTGTGTGTAATCGAATCCAATGTTTCGCACTTAACCGAATCTGGCACTCAACCCGATAAAACACCCACAAGAAACATGTAGAAAAAGTGCCAACTCAAAACCGAAAACCGTCGAAAATGGCACAAGCACACCGCAATTAAGGCAAATAAAAACGATCATAGTAACAATGATAAAATGCGCTTTTATTAACAAATAACAATACAAAGCTTGGAAACAAAAACAGAACATGTTACACCTGGGAGTCTAGCTGAATAGTCAGATACTCTACTGAACTAGACTGGAACAAATGAAAAAAATCAAAACACAAAATAAAACTGCAAAAAACATGCAAAAGCAAACAATGAAGAATAAAATGAAATATTGTCGACTTTCGCTGGTTTAGGTTTCGCTTTTTCCAAAGTTAGCTGTGTGAATTGGATGAAATTTACCACTGCTCACTTTTTCTACATTTTTTCTTCACTGGCTAATTTCGGAATTTATTTCGAGTCTAAAGTCCGCTGAAAGACACTCTTAACATTGCTTACCAATGCCATTAATAAATAATGAAAAACTGTCTGCAAATAAGTCAAAATGGTTGAACGAGATTTGGATTTCGAGAAAAACTGGACTAAATTTGATTTGAACAGATTAGTGGTGTTTGCATGTCCAAAATTACACTGAAAATATGCACAAAATGTAGAAATTGGATACACCAAGAAGAAGAAGAAAGGAGAAAGTTTGCACTACTAGACGCGATTTTTAGGCAAACATCGCAACTTGACTGAGTGATAGAGGGTTTATAGATTGTGTTCCCAGCATGAGGTGATTGGGACTGAATGTTTGAGTTTTACGATTAAATTTGAGCAAATTTGAGGCACCAAAGAGGATTGACAGCAAATGCTTAAAAGCTCCCCGTTGGTGCCAACATAAAAATGGTTTGTTAGTTCACATGAGCTGAGCTGGTGAACCAGCCGACTTACCGGTATCCCAGTCGGTTCCAGTTGGCCAAAGCGTGTGCTCCTCCAACTCTCCAATATCAGAAGACCTCCATAAATTTTACCCACAGTCAGTTTCAATTGATTCAGATCGCTGGTTGGCGGCACCAAAATATTCACCATATTTTTGGCCTGCAGCGGCCAAATGTTCTTGATTGTCTCGCGAAGTTCATCATCGGCCTGATCCATCTCTTCAGCTGCATTCACACGTTGGATAAATCGCCTGTTGGTTAACTTTCCAGTCTATTACCTGGCCGCATTTTGATCGCCAAGTTCTCCCTGATCAACGCAAACAGCGTGGTGGTGAAGTAGACTTTTCCCTCATCGTCCACCGGCATATTCATGCGAATCAACTTCTTGTAGGCCAATCGATTCGGGCACTTGTTGCCAAACCCCAAGGGCGGGTCCATGTTCTTCAGCATGTCGTACATTTCCGTGAAGTGTATTCTTCCCCTGATGGTCGCGATTTTTTGGTAGTAATCTAAGGGGTTTGATTGCGCTTTACTTACGTTGCATTCGGGTCGTATTCCGCCCAAATTCGCACAAACTCGTCCAAATGGTGCGCCCCCAAAATGGAGGAATCTCTCGTCAGGTAGTCGAAGTTGTCCATAATAACGGCAACGAACAAATTGAGCATCTGCAAATGAACATGGAGTTCAGTGGGCGATTGTGCAAAAGTCAGATGTTAGGTTTGCAGAAGCCACCTCTGAGGATGGCAGCTACTTGGGCTAGTGAAACATCACTACTAAAGAAACTGTTGATGAGCCTCGATCAAGGATCTAAGATATGGAAATCACCAGATCGTCAATCTTCCACACCTCCAGAAACTTGCTCATATCACCAACTTCTTAACCATCTTTTAACGGGAATTAGGTGATGAATTTCAGCATGGGATAATCCACACCATTACACAGAGCAAGCAAAATACTTACAAGAAACGAACAGAAGAAAATGAAAGAGACAAAGTACATGTAAGCCAGGTTGGAGCCGCATTCTTTGCCAATTTTCCCGGTGTTCGTATCGCATTCCTGCCCTTTGATGCAGGACAGCATGATGCTGGGCCAGTTTTCCCCTGTTGCACACCTGCAAATCCACCGAAAATATATAGGGTGTCCCCAAAACAGGCGGCTTTGCATTTACCGAAACAGCAGCATCAAGCCCTGGATGAAATTCCGGAAATTGTTGTGCCGATTGATCGATTCACTGGGCAGCTTGATGTTGCCAAAAACCTGCGAAATTGGCCACAATTAATCCCGGAACTAGCGAATGCGAAGTGGTCCTAAAAAGCGATTTGTCTGCTTACCTGCATGCCGATGATGGCGTAAATGAAAAACAACATTGCAATTAGAAGACAAACGTATGGAAGAGCTTTAAAGCTCTGGACAAAAGTCCATAGCAGAATGCGAATGGTGTATCCTTGTCGCAGCAGTTTGATTAATCGGGCAGCCCGGAAAAGCCTGAGAAAACCGACGTTGATGAAGTTGTCCTGAAAATTGCGCAAATCCATTAAAACCTGCCGGAAAGCCTTCAAATATCTACAATTAATTTCGTTTGAAAAATTTAATTTCGTTTCCTCAATTCAGCCTTAGGGTTTGCTAATTGCTAACACCAAACTTCCATTCTGGATACTTTAAGGAAAAGCTACATCAATATACAGGATGTTCACAGTGAAAACCCTGTATAGATCATCTAAATCAAAGTAGGCCCCAATTTAGGTTTTCGGAAAAGTTAAATTAGGCCTGCTTTGCACACTTTTCTAGAACTAGAATTGAGTGAAACACTACGTCTAATAGTCTACTCTAATCTAAGCGAGGAAATAATCGAAACAAAATGAAACAAAAATCGACGAGATTGTATTTACAAAAAAATTTCGTGTGTACACAGTGTTTCGGTGTAGTTGAGTGTCCATTTCAGTGATTTTGTACTTACCAAAACACGCGCTGATTGAACCGTTTTTCGAATTTTTTCGTACACTATTCAAAACGTGCTACATGCAAACAGTTAAAGTTAGGATCATTTTCGTTTTGATTCCAGGATTTCGAACAAGCAAATGCTTTTAGTCACAATATGGCTCAACTTTTCACTGCTGTGGTTTGTTTGGAAAAATACACTGGTTTTCCTCAAGTTTAGGCCAAGAAAATGAATGATACTTCACAGCCATATCACAAATAAAATAAGCTCGTAGAAATCTCAGAAAACAAACCTTCAACCATTTTCCAATAAGGGCGGGAACATCTAGCTCTTTTGTCTAAAAAAACATAAAATACGATAAATCTAGGTTAGTAACATTGAGGTGAGTGAGCTAAGAACTAGTCAAGTGCTATGTAAGTTGGAGCATGCCATCGAAGAAACTAACCTGGCTATGAATTCTAGGGATTATTACCAAATTAATAGTGTTAAGTACTGGCCCAAAACGTATAGAATTTGGTGGAAAATAACTTGTATAATGTAAAACTCCTAGGTTCTATGGGAAATCAGAGAATAGAATCACTAGAGCTGCAAGATGTCTAAGACTTAAGAGGATCAACTAAAAAGGGGGCGATTTGTTAGAGTAACTTTATTTGTTTTAATCGGTTGTTGCTTCCAGAGTAAGTCGGAATAAAGCAACAATTAAACTGGTTATAATGCATTATTTTCGAGTATTTCCAGCTTTTATTCGCAGGGACAAATCAGGTCTTTTGCTTGCTGTTACGGGTTTTTGGGGTCGAAAATGTAATTTTTCAGGAAGGGTTTTGAAACGGGTTTATTCATGACGGATTTACCATTTGCCTTTCTTCTATTTTGAAAACAAACATACGAAAGTCTTTTGTTTTGAGTAGAATTCCTGTCGCTTACTGCCTTTACTGTATACATACTAAAATGGAAAAGGAAAGTTAAGAATGCAAATTATCCTTATTTATGATCGAGATTTTTATTTTGCAACATTTCCCTTAGGCTTTTTGGATCGGCTTTCTTCAGCAGAAACATCAAATGCATTTTTCAGCTTGAAACTTCGACTGAATTTCTCGTTTCGCAACATTTTTTGGATCACCCTTCTGTAGCAGAAAAATCAAATGGATTATTTAGCGTGAATTCTTCTATATTAAAAAAAAATTGTTATCATTCTTTGAATGTTTTATTGGCCAAAAAAGACCACTTTCAGTTCGAAACTAGTTGGGTTTTGAGTGGCGTGAAAACCGATCTGGAAAATCCAATAAACAGCAAAAAGCACATAAAGACACCCGCAATAACGCGACTGGAAGCAAAGTAAAGTTACTGTAAAAACCCGCCAAAGAATCAACTGGTTAGTGAGACTGTTTAAGAGGATTTGGTAAATAGATCTGATGTAAAACAGAGCAATAGTAATAATAATAATAATAATATAGTAATTATTGATAAAAAAAAGTTGTTGATATAAATGACATACCCTGTCTTTTGTCATTCGCTCAGCTCGTTCCTTGAAGTAAAAGAAACATTTAGTAACAAATACACAATTAAATAAAAGTTTAGTAACACATTGAACGGTCTGGTAGCGAACTGTTTTCCCACGTTCAGGTGAAAATAAATGCTGTTTATGATTGGATTTTTCGTAACGGAAAACAATTGGCTAAAAGACACGCATTAAGAACATTGGTTGTGCAAATATCATTAACAAATATCCATGGACATTCCATAAAATGCATTGTCAATATGTGATGTTCAGCTGGTACTTGAATGTGATTTTGCAATAAAAGCTGACCGATTTTTCGGTTTGTTTCGGTTAGTTGGCGGTACCACTAGCAAGTACCAACCGAACAGGAAAATTTTGCAAAATTGCCATTAGTTGCAAGGTGGGTGCACGACGCCGTGGGTGCTGAACAGCGCAGTTTTTGTTGTTTTTTTTAGTTGGCAAACGCTATATCACAAAAATCACATTTGTACCTTCCAGATCAGTCGCCCGTATATCTGTCAGTGTGTGTCAAATTGTGGCATTTTGTAAAAACAAGTAAAAAACAAGTTGAAATATATATTTATATATATACAAGAAGTAGAGGAACATGACATTGATACTTACGCCGAATTCCACAACCATTGCGTCCACTATGCTGCCAATCACGGTGACAAAGTCGAACGTGTTCCACGGATCTTTGAAGAAATTCTAGAAAATCGAAAAAAAAATCAGTAGTGAAGTGATCGGGCCGATTAACTGCCGCTACTGGTTGTACCGATTTTTTAAAGCCTGTCCTGTACTCGGTTATCTAATTTGAAACAAAAAGTCAATTCAATCGGTTAGAGTCATTGAGGAAAATTCGAAATAAACAAAATATTTATGCTGTCAAATCTACGAAAAGCTCAGCATCAATCCACTCTGTCTTCAAAATTGTCCAGAGTGTTGCCAGAACGCCACTTCCACGTTCTCTGTGA